GCAGCGATCCAACTAATATTCACTCGCGTACGATGTAATTTTAAGGCGCCCGCTTAGTCTCTGATGGTCCTGACCTACAATGTTTCTAGTAATAAGGCTCCCTGGTGTTGCAGTTGTTCATAGGCGGCGGTAGTCACTTACCATCAGGTGAGCCGCATGCTCGTTTGCCCTCTTTCCTATAAAAAAAATATTTGATTACTATTAATAGAAAGGAAACGCTAATCCAAATAATCCTTCATTTATAATTATATCTAAGTGTCTAAATACTCTATAAATAAACTACTGTTGCATTAAATCAAGAATTGGTCTAAAATGAATGCCATTAAGTTTTTTTTTTATAGGATAGGATGACAACGAGCACGCAGTCCACCTGATGGTAAGTGGTTGCTGTGGCCCATAGACATCCACATTCATCCTCGCTTGCGAATCAAAATGCAGATGCGTTGTCACCCATGAGGACTAAGATAGAATGCCTCTTTTCCAGTAAAAAGGGTCTCCGGTTCTCTACACTCACTCACGAAACACAGCAGTGTTAAGATGCTATTTTACGCTGGTATTCTGTGAGAGAGTGGTCCCTCCCCGGTAGAGCCGACCCATTCGTGCTACAACTATACTACTAATATAGCTGCAGCATAGCTTTACCACGCATTAAGTGGAGTTGCTTCGTCACAAAAAAATCCTTTTCACGATGTTGTTCCTATGTACTTCGCAACGTCATGAGTTTTTACTTAAAACTAAATAAAAGTCGTCTATTTGAAAGCCATGAAGACCTGCGACCCATAAAACTCGAGTGCCCTTACATCATAATTCGCCTCATTAATCCGCGTCCAGCACGCGAGGCGTCAATCTGCTATCATCGTCATCGTCTGGTGAAAGTGAGATTACATTACGCAACATCCGTCCGTCCATCATTTCAAATTAACATCATAATCTCTTCAATCCAATCTATCATGAGCGCCCACTTTGACGTCAAGGATGCCGCCTGTCACGGTACATTCATCTTTATATAACTACACACAGGGTTTATAATCGCCTGGATATGTCAGATTAATAAATAAATTACTGGACTACTGTTTGAAACCGGTAGAATGGTATTGCACCGGTTCGTAATCGTGATCATCTTAGTAACGGACAATTAACTTTTTTTTTTCTTCAAAACACCCTTAAGACACATTATCGAAAAATAAGGTCATTACACAATATATATATATATATAAAAACCTTCATTCAATGAATAACAAAATATCTGTATAGCACGTACATCCACAAGCGTTTGAGTACAAAGACCTCAGTTAGTGATAACCAGTTAATTTGAGTGAAATTTCGATATCGTACTAATATTAGATCAGGGTTAACATAGAAAGGTTATATGTATTACATTCTCCTCCTATTGTGTCTATGTTACGAAATCCACTGTTCATCAAATATTATTGAATAATATGATACTGCATTCCTGTGCAATAAAGCCGTAGTACTTTAGATCGATCGAGCAATAAATTATTTACTACGTTTTCGGCAGTAAAATTGAAAATCGTTTACCAATGTACTGTTTACAATCTAATGAAGATAAGATTAATTGCTATATTATGGCGGCCCTAAAGAAACCATAATTCCCTTTCACCCTGTGGTTGTTGAGTCGAATGTAGACTCAGATAGATTATAATAACTTCTGTCTTTGTCTTAATTATTAATAAGTCTCTACGTGAAGGTACTGTTTTGTTTAAGGTATATAAAAATTTTAACATTTCAGTCGTATAATATTTTATTTAAAACCTTATGTTAATAAAGAAAGTCTGCTCGCGCGGATTTTCTTACCAGTAATTCAAGGGAATTAATTTTATAGTAGTTCTTATATATAAAATCGATAAAGAACAAGTTTCAGTGTCAATGGACTTACATAAAATATTACGAACGAGAGTGAAAACGTGCTCAAAGAAACAAGTGCATCTTGTTTGTGAGAGAGCATTTATTTTATATTTATTGATTTACTTTTAAATTGCTGCGTTGATAAAATGATATCTAAATGAACTTCGATCGGTATCGAACACATTAATATTGTGATATTGAAAAGGTTAAATGAAAATGAAAACTTATGTGTATGAACGTCTTATTACTACCGTCAATCCTTCTTTCATTTCTAAGAGTTTGACGAATCGCGGTAGTTTAGGGCGCTAAACTTAAACTTCATAGTTAATGATAGTGGAATGATCGGGGGAAACTAACTCTGGTTGCTTAACAGAGTTGGATTCCCGGTCAACCCACAATTTTTTTTGTGCTATTTACCAAATATTCTCGACGGTATACAAACACATCGTGGGGAAACCATAGCTAAGAAGTCCTTATCCTTATCCTCTCTTATAAGGCTATGAAGTTCGGCAAGAGGTTCCATATGGGCTTAATAAAGCAGACGGGTAACAACGTACAGCGAGTTAATAATATTTCTAATTCCCAATTCGCAATGAAGGAGCGCGACAAACTCTTCATCCATATGGTAATGAATTTATTATTCATTAACTTGTCCCGATATAAAGGTTCTTAAATTCCCTCAGATTATGATAGAGTCCATCAAATATTGTCCATGTATTGGAAGCAAATATAAACTACTCTTACATCGTAATTGTAAACATAAAAGACACATTTAATCTCTTTTGGAGACACCTTTGGTTTCGGTACTGTGAATCGCGAGTTAGTTTATAGGCGGGGCAAGTACTAAAAAAATTGGCCTGTATGTTTGTTAATGTTGTGAGATGACTAAAATATAAATTGCACAAAAAAAAGGAAAAACACACAACGTGATTTTAAAACGCCTCTACGATACAGAAGAAATTCCTAAACCGTTATAATATACTACTTTAGTAAATAAAAGCAGAAGAGATCTCTATTTAATGCATGGCGCAGACTAATATGGTTAGCATATTTCGCACGCCTCAATGTTTTGTAAAGCAAAATTGAGGTATTTATATCTTTTTTAATGATATAATGATTATGAATCAATTTGTAAGGTTCGTTCACATCAAGAACCGCTTCCGTTTACATGCCTAACTTAAAATGTGAAAATTGACAGGATGAGAAATCTTCTGAGGTGATCGCATTACATTGGTCAACGTGGTGTTGCAACGTTATAAATTTATGATTTGACATCAGATTATTTCCCATGATCTGATCTGATGATTTCACATGATTTGACAAGTTTGACTATTTAAAAAAATATATAAATGCATTTGGTATCACTTGGTGAAACTTAATTTTGGTTTCCGATATAACATTAACTATCGCATCTCAACAAAGTTCTTTCATTTTGTTGATGCAATATGTAAGTAAATTGAATGTTACAATTCGTCGCTAACGCCGCAAAGAGGCGAACCTCAATTTTTACAAAAATTACAGGAGAGCAAGAAAACATTACAACATACAAACATTTTTAACAGTGGTAGAGCCACGCGGCAGCTTTTGCTGTCGCATGGATGGGCCGGCTCGAACCGGGGTAGTACCACGACCTCACAGAAAACCAGCGTGAAGTAGAGGTTTACCTCTGCGTTTCGCTTGGTGAGTGCAGGTGGCCGGAGGCCCTTTTTACTGGAAATGAGGCATTCCATCTTAGTCCTCACGGGTGACAACGCATCTACATTTTGATTTGTAACAGAGGATAGATGTAGATGTCTATGGGCCGCAGCAACCACTTACCATCAGGTGGACTGTGTGCTCGTTTGTCACCCTTATCCTATAAAAAAAAAAAAAAAAAAAAAACATTTATTATTCCCCGATAAATAGCTTTTTTTAAAACTTCTTATGAACACAAGCTAGTAATCAGGCAATAACAAATGTTTTCTTGGTCTCCTGTAATTTTTTGAAAAATTGAGGTTCGCCCCTTTGCGGCGTCAACGACGAATTATTTGTGCCCATTAATATTATAATTTTAATATTTTGTGAAAAGTCATTAATATGACATCGTCAAGGTTTCTTCCAGCCTCGCTATTATTTAAAAAAATCTCAAATTTATTTACTGCATGATACTTGTTCTTGTTATTTATTTAAACTGTATTCAATTATGTACTATTTCTAATACATATTTTAATCATCAGGTACCTGAATTTCGTTGTAGGGTGTATTGCTGTTTAGATAAAACGGTAATTTAAATTTTTCTTTAACTTCCAAATAAGAAGTTTTTGTAATGGGTCCGATTTTAGCCTTATATCAATAATATATATAAAAGACTGAGAAAATTTTGTTAAAGAATTTAGAAACTTAGCATGTTATGAAAGAACGAAGCCGTTAGAAATCCATTGAGATTTTATTATTACGTTCAAATATGAATTCTGAGACCTTGGAGACGTTAATGTCATTCTTTGTCACATTCTTGTTCACATCCGTTTTTACGTAATTTTTAATTTTGTAAATAGTCGCAAAAGTATTGTGGTATAATTATAAATACATTATTTCCGGTATGTTTTTATTGTTGCTGTGATACCTTTCTTTTCTCTTAATTCTATGATTCTGGGTTGACGGAAGTACTATATAAGCACAGTATTACAAGGTCCTATGCGCTGTAGGTTTTAATGGGTAAATTTGCAAGTATCAAATACGTGACTTAAAATGGCCGTATCTTTTAATTGCGTTGACTCTTTAACTATTCGACTATATCTTTTGATGGGTGCGTTTGCAAGCATGACATAAATGGCCATATCTTTTGATTGCGTTGTCTTAAAATCTTGAATATTTTACGAACAGTAGACCTTAGTATTTGATATTAATTGCAACGTTATATCTCTACCTACTCCTGAGAAAATAATCTTGACAGACGGACGGAAAACAAAGGGATCCTATAAGACTCCGTTTTTTTTTATTTTTAAAGTCCGGAACCCTAAAAACATTTTTTTTTTGGAAACAACTAATATTAAGTCACGGTTTTAGTAATATAAAATAATGTAAACAAAATGAGTTAAGTAATAAGAGATTTAAGAATGAATCCAGATAATAACAATTACTCTAGATTTACTCACCACCAGCTCTGCGAATTTGGCGTCCAGCTCATCCTGCGGCGGCATCGGGTGCGTCGGGGTGACAGCCTGCAGCGCCAGGCCGCCCTCGCCGCCCACCACACAGTATGTGATCTCCGGGGGCTCGTCATTCTGTTGAAAAAATGTAAATATAAATTGTTATTGCAGTTGAACATGTTAATGCAGTATTTAACAGGTTTCCTTTTCATTTTAAGATGTCGCACCTGATCGTTCCTATAATATGTCTCATAGCTCTAGAAGCCTAAAGCTCCCTGTACAAACAAAATATATGTAATTTTGCTGGTCACTCTGTTAAAATTTAAATAAATGATGATGAATCAGTAAATTAAATATTTTTTATGATCATGGTAAGTAGTAACGTGTATGAATTTACATAAACAGTATAATGAAGTCTTTTTGTAAACAACAAAAAAAAACAAGCATAAATAAGATTTTTGAACATCCGCATCACAGTAAATTTACACACAATCGAAATAAATTATAAACACTGTATCATAAATAATTAAACAATTCAACAACAATTGAGTTTCGTGTAATGTGGCAAAAAAAATCCTCATGAATCATGTAGGTATCCGTGGAGAATGGACCGGTAAAACATTTCGTTGCGATGTTAAGACATACTCATAAATCATTGTCAATGGGATTTTGTACACCATACACGATTGTCGGAACTCCACACTCATTATTAATTTACAGAAGCTATTCTTTAAAAAAAGACACGACGCAATATCAGTTAGTATGTGTCTCTTTCCTATACACAGTGTGAGCAATAGTGTCACAGAATACCAGCGTAAAATAGCAGCTTAACGCTGTTGTGTTTCGTATGGTGAGTGTAGAGAACCGGACACCCTTTTTACTGGAAACGAGGCATTCCATCTTAGTCCTCACGGGTGACAACGCATCTGCATTTTGACTCTTAGTCGAAGATAGATGTAGATGTCTATGAGCCACAGCGATCACTTACCATCAGGTGGACTGTGTGCTCGTTTGTCACCCTTATCCTATAAAAAAAATCAAGATTTAGGAGGGCTAAACATCTAGCAACGAGTAGTAAGAAGGGTTTTCTCCTCAAAGTTCTCCCAGAATTTGTTGGCGATTGTAGGAGACACAGGTGAGCCTTATGAGATGTATGTAAGTTTTAAACATGTAAAAAAATTACATGTTAAAAACTTACAGGAAAATTATTTCAGGTAACCGAAGCTACGGCTAAGACTGCAATAATAATACAAAATACTATCTCTTATATAAATACGTAAAGTGACACCTGTGTACCCCTTTTTTTAGCATATTACGAGCACAAAGGAGGTTGAGATTTGCCATATTTAATGTATTTAACAAGGAGTGCAGAATACAAAAAATTATAAATAATATTCATTATAAATACATTAAATAAAATAAACTAATACATTGTATACATTCCATACTGCCAATGTCTCAGAGATACTGTCAAAAATCCTCAAAAATATATTTTTTAAATTCAATTGTTTAAACAATTAATTGATTTAGTAATTATGTATATTTATATTTACTACAACAGATTAACATTTTTATATATAATAAGGATGACAAACGAGCACACAGTCCACCTGGGATACTAATAACCCCTGGGAATAATGAGATCTACGACTAACGAATTTTTATACGTGGTAGAGCCACGCTGCAGCTATATGAGTAGTATAGTTGTAGCACGAATAGGTCGGCTCGACCGGGGAAGGACCACGCTCTCACAGAATACCAGCGTAAAATAACAGATTGACATTGCTGTGTTTTGTATGGTGAGTGTAGAGCTTTGGAGATCCATTTTACTGGAAAAGAGGCATTCCATGTTAGTCCTCAAGGGTGACGACGCATCTGCATTTTGATTCTTTATTGAGGATAATGTAGATGTCTATGGGCCGCAGCAACCACTTACCATCAGGTGGACTGTGTGCTCGTTTGTCACCCTATCTTATAAAAAAAAAGATCGCCACCACGCTGGTTCTATGAAGATCCATTTAAATATTGTACAAACAATATTATTGCTAAGTGAAATATGTTTCAAAAAAACTCCCGCTGGGTTTCTTGTTTAAGTAACAAACATGTTACTTAAACAAGTTAAAAAACATGTTTAAGTAATACTACGAGGATTCAGGATGCCGACGTATTAGAAGCTTAGAACATAAATTTTTTTTCTAGAATTAAAAACATTAGCACTCACTAACTTGATTTATGTCCGATAATACCATACAAAATATCTTATAGATGTTATTGAGAGCAACTGAAAAGGAAATCACAAAACAATATTTTATTGATAATTGCAATGTTGAAAAGGAATATAGATGTAAATGGAGGCTACCTTAGAGACTGACGCAATAAGGAAGGAAGCAGAATCGATGAAGTGTTTCGGACTTGAAGTGGACGCAGGGTGGTTCAATACATCATACAATATTAATTATAAGATACATTAATTGGGATAACTTTAATATAGCGCATTTCATGCGAATGCACTAAAACATATATTTTAAAATAAACATATTCCTCTTAACTTTATGAATTTAGTTAATATCTGTTCGAGACTAGCTGTTCCCCGCGACTTCGCCCGCGTCTTATTTAGGATTTTAATATTGTTGCACAGATCCCTAATTATTTTTATAAAATATAAGTAGCCTAATTTACTCCTTATAACATGAGCTATCTACCAGTGAAAGTCCCCTCAAAATCAGTCCAGCCGTTTCGAAGATTAGCCGGAACAAACAGACAGACAGACAAAAATTATAAAAATTGTGTTGTTGTTAAAGTGCCGTATATACTTTCATATGCATCTAGTTAAAACATGTTATTTTGACATTAGAAATAGACACTTCAATTTTATTTATTTGTATAGATATCTGTTAGTTTACTTTTAATGGAGAAACGCAAAAGATCTTGTGAAAATACTTTATTATGATCATCTATTTCAAATATTACAGACATCTCATAAAGTAATGAAAAAGTATGCATGCCCTTTTTTATCATTTTTATACATTTTTATTTGATTAGCCCGCGTATAATATTATGATTAAAAACAAGTGTATAATTTTATTCGTTTGACAAACATATTATGTACTAAATGATATAAAAGTGCTAGATTTTTCTCTTTCTAAGCTACAGCTGTAATTAGCAGTTCTGAGATGGCCCAGAGACAAATTGTTGCTGATAAAGAAATTTGAGTACTTTCTGTTAGAACGTTTAACCATCCTTATTGTGGCGTCATTCATCCTGTTCTCCAATGTAATCTATTCGTAGTTAAAATCTGCCTACTGTTTATTGCAGACAAGATTCGTGTCGCTAACTGAACCCTAAAACTTTAAAGGAAGCACTAATAATCTTCGCAGTGAATAACGACAGGTACTCTATCGTCAACCAATTACAAATCGATTGTTATACGCAACCGGTTCTGCTTTCTTTTTGTATGTAGTACTTTATTGCTTGCACCAGATCACGTATGACGTTACGAACGCTAAAATAGCTGAATCAATTTCTTGGTTCGAATTTCGAAGACTGTGATGTAACCGTTCATAAAGGGGGGCTTAATAAAAAGTATTTCTCGCGAAGTATGTAGGTACATATTTACGCTTCAGTTGTTATTTAATATAAGCAAAGCATTCCCATATTTTCCTACTAATAAGTATTTTACGTATTATATGATATATAATTTTAAAAAAAACATGCAAGAATAATTTCAGCAAATCGATCAGTATTTATATTACTTAATCATTACATAATTACTTATGAAAGGAAGCAAATAATGTTAGTATGAAAACTTGAGAAATTTTTGCATGGTGAAGCTCGGTAGCCTAAGGGATTTTACGATACTCTAGCATCCAAAACTAAATCGCTCGTCCCAGGTTCCAGCACACCCGATTTTGACGTTTTTTTATGTGAGAGGGGGCAAACGAGCATACGGCTCACCTGATGGTAAGTGACTACCGCCACATATGAACAACTGCAGCAGCAGCCGCCCTTTTAATAAGCTCTTTTTTAATGGTCCCTAAGTCGTACCGGTCCGAAAAATTCTCTGGTGATAGTCGATTCCACAAGGAAATTGTGCGAGGAAGAAAACTACGTTTACGTACGTTTCATAATTTTAATCTTATTTTTTTATATATGATAGGGTGACGAACACAGAGTCCACCTGATGGTAAGTGGTTGCTGTGACCCATAGACATCTACATTTTTCCTCAACAAAGAATCAAAATGCAAAATAATGCGTCGTAACCCTTGAGGACTAACATGGAATGCCTCTTTTCCAGTAAAATGGATTTCCGGTTCTCTACACTCACCATACGAAACACAGCAATGTCAAGCTGCCATTTTACGCTGGTATTCTGTGAGAGCGTGGTCCCTACCCGGCCGAGCCGACCGATTCGTGCTACAACTATACTACTACTAATACAGCTGCAGCATGGCTCTACCACGTATAAAAGCTCAGCTCTGGTGGTCACAACAAATAAAACCACAAAACGTAATATAAGTATATAATATAATAACAAAGAAATATTTTCAACCTCTAAGAGTACATAATTGATCTGAGGCGCCGTCTGATTTTCGTTTCATGCAATTCTTTGGCGTCTCGCAAACCCATTAAACACCAGCTAGGGTTGGCAGCAGAGAAGAAAAATAATTTCTTACCTTCCCATTTGGCAGATGTTTTAATGATTATAATAATTGAATTTCTAAAAAGATGTCTGTATGTATTATCGTACTAAAATAATGTTTTTAGGTTTTATGTTAAGAATTAAAATAAAGCCTAAAACCTTTACTAAACTAATCTGATACGGCGATTATTGCGTCAAAGTAGATTTTATAATAAAGTACAATTTTATATCAACCATCTTCATAATTGCGTTACTTTCTTTTTACTATATCAGAAAGGGTGAGAGAACGGGCACGCCTTATTTTATTAACCCCGACCCCAGAGAGAGGGGTATTATAAAGTTTGACCGCTATGTGTGTGTCTGTTCGTGCCACCGTAGCTCTTAAGCGGGTCAACCGATTTGGGTACGGTTTTAAAAAAAAATTAAAAGCATGTTTTCTAGCGATGGTTTTTAAACATGTTTTATCAAAATCGGTTCAGCCGTTCGAAGATCATC